TAAGCATACTATTAAGTGTTTCTAGAAATGTCTTTCTTTCCTCATATTTTTTGTTTCCTCTGGGTTCCCTTTTCATTAGTTTGCTTTTGACTTTTTCTTACAGAAGAGTCTTTTCTCAATGTCCTGTGGTCCTATGTTACTTTTCTGCTTCAAGTGAGGCAGCTGGAGATTCTGTTCATGTGGATACACTGAGGCTTGTCACTTGGTAGGGGATGGCTATAGAGAAGCTTGTGGTTATGCATGTTTACTGAGAGGACCCCAAACACACTCATCTGCAGATCTTTTCTCCAGAATTTGACAGTTTCCTAAGAAATGACTCCCAATTTTCTACCTGGTAAATATGAGGGATTTTAAGCTGGCGGCCAGCATTTTGAGAGTCCATGCAGAAAGACGATTGAGGGAGGGGAAATGTTATCTTTCAGAATGCAGATATTCATGTAGGCTCTCTGCTATAAATATGGCAGCTACTCCCACTTTCCCCACCCTCAGGCTGTGCCTGGTTTCCTAGTCAGGGCCTCAGATTAATCCAACCCATTACAAACATGAAGTTAAATAAATTCCTTGAGACTTTGGATAAAAAAGCAAGAACTTCTGCACCAGAGTTTCTGAATTAAAATAAAACCCAAAAATTTCCTCATATTTGACATCCTCAGACCCTCCCAAAATGTATGAAATTTACCTAATTCAAACGCCTTTACCCTTCCCACTTCATCATGCTGTTTTTTCTTTGATAATGCCTTAGAACAAGTGTTCAGGGTCCAAGTTTGTTTTAAAATAACCCAATGAGCTGACAGACGGAGCTCCTGGAATTCTGCAGCTTGCGCTAGAGTCCACAGATGGGAAATTGCTGTCAGCTAAAGGGTGGTGCTATTACCGTAGCCCGATTTCTGAAGCCTTTAGAAAAAAATATCCCCTGCGTTAATTAGCATTCGCCACAGGCACTAGTGTTGTACTGCAGTACTGGAAGAACTCAGATAATAAGAGAACACAAGAGTGCAGTCTCTAACTTTTAACTAATATTTTACCATTTAAAAATGTAGATTATAAAGAAAGAGTTTTGTCTGTAAAATAAATATGCTCCTTTATGGCTGATCTATACCCTTAAATCATTGTGAAATAGATATTATGTTCTAAAATCAACTAAGTACTAACAGTACCTAAAATAGGAAAAATCTTACTTTACCTCTTCGATCTGCTTAATCCACAAATCTCTTCCAAGAAACTCCTGATGTAAAACTACTGGAGCTGAGTTTAGATGAAAAGTCACACAGTCACTGGTCTTTTCTTTAATAAAAGGCTGGAGGTCAGAATTTATCTAAAAGGAGTAGTTAAAATAGTTCTATTAGTAAAATGTATACATAATAGTATGTTTTAGTCATACTCAGAAAGCACCAGTAATGCAGTAAAATAAAGTTTTAAGATGCACATTAGTAAGCTTTAATAAGCAAAAGAACATTTTGGATTATTAACATTAA